TCCTCATATGTGTAAAAACCTACCTGGCAATAAATCTCATTCTGATTCTGAATTAAACTAACCAGCTGTTTATAAAGCTTTATGATGAATACTATAATATAACAGTGACAGGGGCCATTCTGTATAACGCATACTTTTACTTTCTCATTTGATACATTTAGAGAATTAAACCATCAAAACACAACATTAAAAATACAGTTATTATAAGAGATACAGTATATACAAGAAGACATACAATAAACATACAGTAAATGATTAAAAGTAAACAATATACATATAAAGTGTCATGGCAAGATTAAAAAGGATTTCATTAAATAAAAGTAACTAGAGTTTTTTAACAATAAACATAGATGATGATTGATGGACAACATGAACGTTTGAAATCCATAAATCAGCTCCTGTGTATCTCTTTGAACATTTAACTACATTATTGGAGCACAAGTGTGAAACTTGAAGCCACCAGAGCACAAACACTGAGGATGGACTTCACTCTAGAGATAGATTAATGGATTCTGACATTGTTAATGAGGTAGAAGGAGTAGATGCATTTTTAAGGATTTTAATGTAGAAATTATATGTTGGTTTGTGGAAGAAAAAAAATCAGACACACGTTATTGTCCATATACTATTTGTATATGTGTGTTAATGTCTGTCTGGAGGGAATATTTAAGTAGAATTTATATATATTATTACATTGCTACTTTCATTAAAGGTCCAGTGTGTAACATTCAGGAGGATCTATTGAATATAATATTCATAGGTATATTTTAATTAGTGTATAATCACCTGAATATAGGAATCGTTATGTTTTAGTTACCTTAGAATGAGCCGTTATTATCTACAGTGAAGGCACGTAGGCCACCATGTTGAACCTCCATGTTTCTAAAGTAGCCCAGAGCGGACAAACCAAACACTGGCTGTAGTTTGGTTCATGTTCTCGTTCCCAGGTTGTCAAACACAAACGTAGGACGAGTTCAGTTAGTTGAAAACTTCACCACTCGATGCCGCTACAACCGACACACTGGTCCTTTAAGTAAAGTATCCGAGTACTTCTTCTTCTAGCAGAGGTGGAAGTACATTTACTCAAGTACTTGTACTTTTTATGCTACTTTTTAGTTCTACTCCACTTTAGTTCAAAGGGAAATATTGTACTTCAATACAACTCCATTACATTTATCTGACTACTATAGTTAGATAGTAGATAGTAGTAGATAGTTAGTTACTGTGTAGATTAATATTACACATACAAAATGTGTAGTAAATATGATCAGTTTAAGAAATGTGTTGCATTTTATAGATTAATATAGATTTTCTCCACTTTTACCAACTAAAACATTAAAAAGCTGTTCACACATTAATATATATAGCTATATAATAATAATAATAATAATAATAATAATAATAATAATAATAATAATAATACAATATTATAATATAATCAATAACATAACCCTATGGAAGTGCTCATACTTTTACTTTTGATAAATTAATTACATTTTGTTGCAACTGTACTTTTACTTAAGTAAAGGATTTGAATACTTGTTCACCACAGTGTGATTCTCGCTGTGCGGGTAGTGAGGTGCCTTCTAGTTTCTGAACTTTAAAGCCATAAATCAATATAAGTACACTGTGATTACAACTACCGCTGCTCCTCATAAAGGGGGCTGATTGTGAGACAAAATGTCCTGTGACTTTTTGTGTCTTTCTGTCCTGTTTTCTTAGTGATGTGTTTTTATCATGAGAAGAGAATGACCACAGTCCAACCTGACAAAACAAAGGACGTTTTTTTTGTTTTTACTAATCCCAGGACTCCAGGTTTGAGTGGAAACGCAAGGCAACCCAGAAAAAAGGACAATCAAAGAAGAAAAAAAGCAGGATTGCATCCATGTGACAAAGTCTATGAATCATACTGGACAATAATAAGCCAATGACTCACTGTAGAGGTATTATAAATGTTTTCAGGGGATATGAATTTGGAGGCCGATCAAAGGCGCGGTGAAAATTAGCTGTACAGTAATCTGATACAGCTTGTCTCACATCTGGCCAAACGCATGAACAGTACCAGATACAAGCCAGTGTCCCTTCACTGTGGTGGCCGTGGTTTGTGTTTGTGCTGAAATAAACACATTTTTAACTTTGCAAACTAACAGAACGCCGGTGGAAGTGTCACAGGCTGCAAACTGTTTTGAAGAAATGAGCAAATGAGCCGATACTCACGACTTGAAATGATGATGATGCTCGGCGGGAAGTCGTCCTCCGATGTGTAGTTTGAAGAGCAGATGCCTCTTCTTCTCTCGCCCCTACACTCTGTCACTGCCCCGTTCTTTTCTCCCTATTTCTTCCCCCCTCTCTCTCTCTCTCTCTCTCTCTCTCTCTCTCTCTCTCTCTCTCTCTCTCTCTCTCAACTCTCTGATACTCTCTCCACCCTCGGCTCACAGCTGTAATATAATTAGGAAGAGTGTGGCAGGTCCAGTACTGAGCCACTTTCTAAAAAACTCTGTACACCCCAACACACGCCCAACTCCTACTCCCACACACACACACACACACACACACACACACACACACACACACACACACAGACTATGACATCCAGCTGCTGCCAAATGTGCTGCACGTCCTCTACTTACAGATAAGTCTCATAGTTTACTCTGTTTTTGTTTTTATCGTCTCTCCTCCTCTTTCTCCCCTTCATGGGACTGACAGGTATATGTGTCTGAGGCTTTAATGTCACTCTGCTGCAGGATCGAGTTTCTACAGAAATGTACTGTGGTAACCTTAAAACTTGAGTTATGGACCTTTTTCATCTGTCTCTGCTTCCAACTGTCTGCCCTTTACCCTTGCAAGAGCAGCACAGAGCCTCAACGCACCTTAGGGCCATATTTTCTATCATTCTGCCACGTAAAAGAATGCAGAAAGATATTTTCTGAGAGGAGGAGAGCAGCTGAGAATATTTCCTCTTGGTTCATGGTTTATGAGCCCAATAATACCCTTCATTATACTTTACTTAGTATTTCAGAGCTAAATATTGTGCTTTACACTCCACTACGTTTATCTGACAGCTATAGTTACTCTGCAGATCATAAACATGTGATCAGAGTATAAAATATGATGCATTTGTGCAGATTAAACTAATTTACAGTTTATAAAGTAGCTCACCAGCGATGAAATGCTGCTTAAATCAGAAATATTAATGGAAGAATATAATATTCTGTATATACTTGCATTTAGAGTACTTTTAATATTTTAAGTACTTCAACTAGTGGTGGAAGAAGTATTCAGATCCTTTATTCAAGTAAAAGTATCATTACTGTAACACATTTTAAAAATACTTAATTACAAGTAAAAGTTCTGGATTTTAAGTGCAAATACAGAAATATTGGCAAAGAAATGTATTTAGTATCAGAAGTAAAAGTAGTCAGTATGCATAATGTCCCCTGACAGTGTTGTTTCTTTGGATCAGTTTTCAGTATTTGTCCATTAAACGATTAGCTAATCAACAGAAAATGAATCATCTACTATTTTTCATAATCAGTTCATTATTTAAGTAACCAAGTAATAAGGCTTTCAAGCAAAAAAGCCAAATAATTGATGGTTCCAGGTTATCAAATGTAGAAATGTTCTGATGTTCACAGTCTTACAATAATTTAATTACTACTATTTAACTCTTTGTCAGAAAAAACAAGACATTTAAAATGTGTTTTTTATATAATTTATATATTTTGTGGTAATTTAATTCATATCAGTGCATAATATTTTATAAACTGATCATATGATTTGTATATAAAATCTTTTTTTCTGAAAAGTAACCAGGAACTGTGGCTGTAAAATAAATGTAGTGGAGTGCAATATTTCCCTGTGGAGGTGAGAAGAAAATGGAAATTGTAGTGCAGTACTTAAAGTTACTTTCCACCGCTGGCAGGTATGTTAGACATTTAATCCACAATATTTTCAAGCAAATTCTCTCTGCTCCATTAACACAATATATCTGGTCAGTCTGCTAATATGTCGGTGTTTTTGCAATAAAGGATTTGTAAGCTTCTCTCCCCAGGAAAGAGGGGAGATAAGGAGTTCAGGAGACGGGATATGAAATGGAACGAATTATTCTTTATTGACTGGCATCCAGATGTTATTCCAGCTCTCTCTCTCTCTCTCTCTCTCTCTCTCTCTCTCTCTCTCTCTCTCTCTGTCTGTTTTCATGCTGTGGCTGAGGTCAGAGTTGGCCACCAATACAGCCAGAGAGAAAAATGGTGAAAAAAGTCAAGTGTAGAAGCAGAGAGAAGGAGAAAACAGACAGACGGACAGACAGACAGACAGACAGACAGACAGACAGACAGACAGACAGACAGACAAATGGGGTTAAATAATGACAACTGCTGCACTTCAACATCTGCACACCTCTCCTCCAGCCTCAGAGAGTGATTCAACAGAGAGTTACTGCTGTGAATAAGTCGCTACACCAACCACAGCTGGTTCACATTAACAACAGGCAATTTGTCACCTTCAGCTGAATTCCAGCCACACACACACACACACACACACACACACACACACACACACACACACACACACACACACCATACTTTTTCCCTCCCTGTGTGAGTCTTTCCCGTCTTCTGTCTTTTCAAAACCACATGGCGAGGTGCGCGCTTGTGGCTCACACTTTAATTTCTCCAATACTGTCTCACTGTGGAGGAAAGCCAACATTGCACTTCACTTCACATGTAGAGGCTGACGTAAGAATATAACGCAACCAAAAATACTCCCTTTAAACACAATACTAAACAAGTTAGGGGCCATCTTTGTGCAGTTTTATCCTGCCTGAGGACACATCCCTTGTGGTGTGCAGAGCTTTCATGCTTTAATGTTAAATGTCATGTATCAAACAGAGTTTACTCTTTTCATTTGTGCTCTGGCCCCTTAATTCAGTGTCCAACGAGTCAGTGTCTAGGAAAACAGAAAACTAACATTTTGAGGAAGTGGCTTTGCCAGAAACAGGAAACCCAACTCTGTTTATGTACCAACAAAACTGAGAAACACTGAGTAGACACACAGAAAACTTCAACGAAGAAGACCATAAACTGTCCCCCGAAAACCCTAGAAATCACAACATGGAGCCTGTTTCTGGCACACAATTCTGGCCTCCTTCTTCCACCTCGACCTGGACATTTGTCTTCTTCTTTGCTTCTGTATGCTCAGGAATGGACACACCAAGTAAGACAGCCAAGCTAATACTCTACTTTGAGGAACAGAGTGACATTTGTGAATCACTAATGTAACTTTAAGATTGTTTGCAGCCAAACATGTTCAGATATGTGCAACTAATGATTATATTCATTACCAATCTATTGTTTGTTTGTGTCACAGTTTCCTGAAACCCAAAGTAAAGTGTTCAAATTGCTTGTTTTGTCCAACCAACAGTCTAAAACCCCCAAAATATAATTTATAAAACCCACAAACCCACACATTCGAGAAGCTGGAACCAGAGAAAGTTTTGCTTGATTGATTGTCAATACTGTTGTTACTGTTGATCAACTAACTGATTAACTGACTGATGATTTCAGCTCTAATATGAACCTCCATGTTATGTTTCCCCCCACAGAAATAGAACTGCAAAGCAGAGTCTTTGTGGCTTTCACAGGTGAAGGGCTCAACCTTAACTGTACGTTGAACTTGCCAGCAAACCAAACTGATGACCTCTTGACGTGCTCCGATCCTTCCAGCAAGCAGATATATGACTGTAAGATCCCTGCGACGCTTGGCCAGCCACAGGATTTAACACAGACATTGGAGCTGAAACACCTGAATACATCAGGAGAATACAGTTGTCGATATAAAACCGCCACGGTGTACTGGTTTCTTCAAGTGAGAAGTGAGTATGAAAAGGAGAGAAGAAGCATAATTTTCCCAACTGGCAGACTTACTTCATCGTTCTCTTCTGCAACTTGAATAGATGCTGTTGGATCGGTTCAAACTAAGTGGATCAGGGGAATTAAGTGAGAATGAATTGCTTTAACGTTAGTTGTTTTAGGAAATGTAGAGAAATGTATTAATTCGTGTCACACTTTTTAGCACTTTTTAATCTTTGGGTATCGAGTATTTTCAACTCAAAAGACTCCAAGTGAAGTCACGAGTCAGTGATGTTACAATCCAAAGTCAAGTTGCAAGTCTCTCTCAGTTTTGTTGAGTCAAGTCTAACATCATCAAATTTCTGTCCACAACACTGAATATGAATATGAGAGAACTGATGTAATGCTGGGACAGGATGTTTAGCAGATGTTATAGGTGTATGGATATTAGTTTCTGGTTTCTTCCCTCTTTCGTGTGTCAAAAACAAAATTCTGTTTGGCAAAAAGTCACAAGAATTGTTGGACAAAGTTGTGGGTATTTACACAGTGTTTGCTAATGAACTCTCTAATGAGCTCTCTTGTGCGCACTGTAATGCCCACAGAGGCAATATTGTGTGATTTGTTTGTTTGTGAGCAGCTCAACCAAGTGATTTAACAATTTAGAGCCCTCAAAATATAATAACTGCACATATTTCACAAGAGAAACAAAACCTCTGAGAAAAATAAACATATTTTTGTGTTATTTTTCTTTTATCCCTTTAATCATTTTATGGTCCTTCAGATTTTTCTTGGAATTGTACACTGTACATGTAAAAAGCCGTCAGGGGACTATTGTTGATGTTGACAATGAGCTTAAATATTTGTATCCAATAGATGACTTGCTTGATAGATGTGGAATAGTTCAGCCAACCTCTGCCATCCAGATATGATGCATTCCTGGCGCAGACTGACATTGAATGGTTTGTGTTTTCCAGAGGAAGGCTACAAGGAGCCCATAATGTTGGATTACACAGAAGTCAGCATAGTCACAGTCTTCACTGGTGTGCTGCTGGTTTTCAGTGTGGTCGGCTCAGTGTATGTCTTCAGAGGACATTGGGTAAGACTGTATTGTAGATTCCCATATTTTCTAATCAAACACAACCATCGAGACAAAATTAGTTGTTTAAATCATCTTTCAAGCCAAAGTGTTGAACAATAAATACTTCCAGCTTTTAAACTATTTTCTTATGTGATAGTAAATTTAGTATTTTGGGGTATTGGACCACTGGCTGGACTAAACAAGCAATATAAAGATGTCACCACTATTTCCTGGTAATTTATTAATCCAACAAGTAATACATTTCGAAAATAATTGTTAGAATAAATAAAAATAATTATTGCATTATTGGTTTCCTAATGTGGCCTGCTGATTCTTTCCCAGGTTTCTTTAAAGGTGTATTTCAGCAGTACTAAGACTCTCATTGAGGAACCTGAATGTTTTTTTCAATAGTATTTCAGTTCCACTCCTCTTGGATCTTGCTGCTGCCTTTGACACGGTTGACTTAAACTAGACTAGAAAACATGGCTGGACTCTTAGACAGAGTCCTATCTCAAGGACAGGAAATATTTAGTCTAACTCAATTTGGCCACACACACTCACTGTTACCTCATCTGTGATTGTGTCATAGCTCAAGTTTAAACATAGACTTATATTGTTCTCCAGCCAGAGTATTAGGTGCAAAGAATTAAACTCAAACATCTGATTAATAGAGACTAGAGATGGGGAGCTGCATGTGTCTTAGTCTTAATTGTGATTTGTGTTTCTGTTAGAACAAAGACAAAACTGAAGGTAGCACCGACACCGGCAGAAAACAAAAGCAGAACAGAGAAGAAAGGAAGAAGAGAGAGACGGAGGAACACAACGTGGCTGTAACAGATTCCTCTTTCTATGCTGTAAGCACCTTTCTACTCGTCACTAGCTAGGGAGACATATTTTACTTGAATTAAGTTGTATCACTTCATATTTGTCCTCCATCTTCCCAGCATTCATATGTTCATTTTTATATTTCTTGGAAACTGATATGAGATGTTCTCTCAGAGTCTAGAGGCTCGGCCTGGGTCCATTTACGATGTGCTGGACCACTCAGCTGCCAACACAGAGACAGACGAAAGAAAACCTAAACCCAAGAAAAAGGAACAACAAAAAACGGTCAGTGTGAACTTCAGGTGCTTTGTCACATTATCAGTGGAAATCAATAAAACATGCAGTTGGTGACCTGTCGTCTACTTCCTCCACAGATGACGCAAACCACAAAATCCCAGAATGAAGACATATTTGAGTCTGTCTATGAGAATTTCTGAATCATAAAACAACTTTTCTCAACAGATTATGATATTTATATCAGTAGCTGAGATGATCTCAGTTTGCTTTGCTGTGTCATTGTCACCTGTTACCAGTAAAATAATTATTCAGATTCTTTAAAGAAGTAAAAGTAACAAAAACATAACGTAACGTAAAAATACTTAATTATATGTAAATGTATGAAGTAAAATACAAATGTATTGTCAATTAAATGCACTCGCTGCAGACAACAAGCCCTCTATCAGTGTTACCATATCATTTATTATACTGTTGGATTATTTTTTACGAATGCAACATGTAACCAACATTTAAACGTTAGACTTGTGACTTGTTTTATTTACGTTTTATTTACTGTATACGATGCATTATATATATTTAATGTGAATTTGCAAATAACTACAAACTATAGCAGCCAAATGCTAAATAAATGTAGAGTAAAATGTAGAAGAAGTCCAGTACTTTAGTAAATCTGCTTTGTCACTTCCCACCTCTGGCTGTTACCAACAGTAGAACAAAAATAAATAAATAAACCTGTTCCTACCATCTGTCCTTGTCTCAGTCTGATTTCTGTTTGAAAACCCATTATTTATCTATTTCTACAACATTGCTCCTTATTTAGGCATTTCCGGTTATAATAAGCGCCACCCCTTTTACGTACGCTGACCAATGACAGCGCTCCTGTCAGTCTGACTTCCTGGTTTGGTTTGTTGTGGTTTGCATCGATCATGGCTGCTGAGGGCGATTTTCTGGCGAGATATCGAGCTGTGTCAAATAAACTGAAAAAGTAAGGCTTCAAGTAAACACCAGTTCAAACAGAAAGAGGACTGAATATTAGGATTAGCGTCACATTTCTTGGTAATAGATTTTACAGCTAGCGCTAATGAGCCATGTTAAGCTAACTGTTAGCTCACCGCCAGTGTCACATGACGTTGTTTAACCTTCCTTTGTGTCAATGTGATGTAGTTGCTGCTGCAGATATCATGTTAGTACAGTTTAAGTGTTAGTTAGCCGGCTAATTTCGATATTTTAGAGACTCTTGTTTCTTTGTTTCAGGCGTTTTCTCCGGAAGCCAAATGTTGCGGAGGCGAGTGAGCAGTTTGGTAAGTGTCAGTGTTTACCACAACCCTTGTAACCTAACGCTATATTTACACTGTTCAACTGTATTATGGAGTATATACTGTTTATGTCATTCAGCCTCACATTCATTTCCTTGTGTTTCAGGTCAGTTAGCCAAGGAGCTGAAGCAGCAGGACTGCCTTCAGTATGCTGCCTTCTGTAACCTGGCCATGGCTCGGTGAGTGGACATTTCTGTGTACTCATACCATAATGCAGCACATTGACCTGAACCATCTCTAACACAATACAAAGACTCTCTGTGGCCACCTAGTTTTATGTCCGTCTGCAGTTAGCTTCCAACATACAGTGATATTGATAATCGATAAACAGCCTGCTTCCTGCTTGGTGGTAACTATTTGGGACTTCATGCACAAAGGAAGACCCTTGAAGACATGTTTTAGCTGGACAAGAGGTCGCTGTTTTTTCCAGTTTCGAATGAGGTTCTCAGGAATCACAAATGGGTGTAATGTTCATGTGTTCACATAGTGTTTTTTTTTGTTTTTTTAAATGCTTTATTGGAACTTGCATCAAGAACAAGTTACAGTGACAAACTCATGATATATAACAGTTGTTATATTCAAAATCTTGTTCATACCTCCTTATGAAATTCTGTTTAACATTTACAACAAGTACAAATACATCATATAGAGAGAGACATTTTAGAATTAAATAAAGCTGAGAAAATAAAATAAAATAAGTAAAACAAGAGTATACAATATGTAAGGCTGTATACATAAAAAAGGAGCTTAGCAAGGGGTTAAATTAAGTTGTGTTCTAACATAAGAGTGTAAAGTTTCTGGGCAGGGGCGTTTTGTACCTTCTTTATACATTTAATAAGTAAAGAAAAATCATTCTTCCAAGCATTCCACACTGGAGGAGATTTAGACAGCCGACATTTATGTATGTAGAATTTGGTCAAAAGTATTATGTTGTTAATTAGGTATTCAGTGTTTTTATCTTTCAATATCATTCCCAACTGAATATTCATGTGTTCACATAGTTTCGGCCATGTAGTGTATTTAAAGTCCTAACTTAAAGATTACCCAAGTAACTACTGGGGAGTAAAAAATCATGTTAATGCCAGTTGTGATAAGTTCATCACATCTCAGAGCCTGAGTAGATTTCAGCCTCACCATGAACAATAAATAAAAAAAAGTTGTAGACTTGGTGAAACTTCACATGAAAGCCTTATTGGGGATGGCGTGCTCTGCTGGGGTAAAGTGTTCTCATTGTACAATGTGGTTTCATCAGAACTATATTGTAGTGATTATTCTGTGGCTTAAAGTCCCCCTCTACTCAAAAATATGTTTTTCTTCTTGAGATGTTTGAGCTTCACTGTGCAGAATGAACTGTGACAGTGTGTCCAGTATGTAACTTAACTTATGTATGTATATATTAGTGGGATGTAGAAACTTGAAGCCACCAGTGCACAAACACTGAGAATGGACTTTACAGAGAAGTAGGAAATTAACAAAATTTTCATATTCCTTAGATTCTTGTATTTTTAGTGAGGTTGAAGGAGACAAGCAGGACAAGCAGACTATTTGAATATATTGTACTGAATGTTTGGAAGGGAGCTTTAAATCTAACCTGTCAGATGTATAAAATTTGTTTGACAGAACTTGGAATACTTGTATCACCCTGCTGAGCTCAGAAATATTCAGGATTACTAAAACATCAACAATGTACTTCATTGTTTGTACATTAACTTAGTTAATACTGGTTGGTCTAAACAGAATGGTACGTGTTAAATATTTAGTAACCAGTTTGTCAGATCACCTCCAGTGAGAGATGACTCGTCTCTAGTTATTCGTGTCCCACACAATAAACCACCACAGGCTAACAGAGGAGCTGCTGGTGATCAGCCCAGAGAGCGCCTGTATCATTCACAGTGATGACATGGTTACTGTTGACGGTGCCTCTGTTGTCGTTACACATCCTGATTGTCTTTGACTGCAGGTGTGAGCAGACTCTTTTTAACGCTCCTGGAGAGGCTCTAGCGTTAACCGATGCTGCCCGCCTCTTCCTCTCATCTGAGAAGGAGAACAGGGCACTACAGGCCCCGGGCTTTGACGAGCACCTACAGGCGGCACTCAACTGCTACAGTTTTGCCATCAAGGTACACTATGATTCCTGGTTTGAATGAAAGAAGTACATTTAATGTGAAGTTTGTTATATTTGTATCCTGTAGACTATACAAACAGATTAAGAGTTTGCAGAATAGATTATGGAGTACATTGTTTCTGCATCCCTATAGAGGCAGTAAAATAACACTCTACAAATGGCTTACAGGTGTACATTGAGATGAACCAGCCTGTGATGGCAGCCAGCTTGTGTCTAGAACTTGGTAACGCACTCAAGGTAAAACTTTGGATCAGAGCTTTAAAATGTCCTAGAAGACAAAATATTGTGATCTTTGCTTAGATTTTTTTTACAAGTTGATATGCTGCAATTCATTTTATGTTAATCTTAACTTCTTCTGTGGTGTCAATAGGAGATGAACAGACCAGGAGAGGCTATTGTTCATTACCAGAGGGCTGCAGAGTTGCAGACACAGACGCCAATTGAAGCTCTGCTATCAATGGGAGAAATGGCCACATGTAAAATTCTCACCCGTGAGTTCAGTCTGTCCATTTACAGCTGATATGTAGCTGATACATACGTATATTATTGGACGTTACTGTCTGCAGTTTGAGCCTGCATGTCTGTTCTGTAATTTGCAGGTGACTACGACGGTGCTCTGTCAGTGTTCACAGAGATGCAGCTGATGTGCCAGGAGAGAGGACTGCAGCTACCAGGCACCAGCACCCCTGTTGGTGAGGCTCTGCATTTATCTCTCTGTAATTCATTGTTTATTTTACTGTATTTATTTTTTTACAGCAAAACAAGTCTTCCTGCAACCTTGTTTTTTTTTTTTACATATTTATTTATCTCTTCTCTGTGGTGGGTGGTTGTATATGAAGAATGCTGTAAATATATTTTTAAAAAGTAGTCTTATATAAATTGGATCCCCTGTGATACAGTTTTCTAAATGGAGGTGTGTCAAAAACAAACAAAAAACATTTAATTGCTGAGATCAAAAGCTGGATGTTTAATCCAACTAAAGAAAAATAAACCACCTTCAGTAAGTGCCTCTTTTTCTGGTTAAATGTCATTGTTGCATTTTATGTGATTACACTGACTGAAAAACTGTTTTCATTTCTCTACTGTATCTTAATTTTCCTGAAAAAAAGGTGCATTTCTGGACATTGTGGCAAAATGTGAGATCTCCAGAGTACTATTGCTAATGCTGCTTGAGGTAAGCACTGTGATTTTATAAATAAAGACAAGATATTCCAAGAAAATACTCAGAATATCTGTGTGACTGTAGTTGGAAATACATCCTTAATTCTGTTTTTCACTTATCTTATGAAAAACTCTAACCAAGTATTTTTTACTACAGATACATAGAAACAATACTTCAGTGTCAAACAGCCATTAAAGGCCAAAGGGTGAACTACCGGAAAGCGGAACAGTTACATTTTGAGCCTTAAAAGAAAGAAACACCTCCAAATCAGCAACACAACATATCATTTTGCATTACTGATGCCAAGTTTATTGATATTGTATCACACTGTTGATTGTTTATTCCACTCTACACCTGCCTCAGTCAAAAATCAATCTCACACGGCTAGAATTTTAACAGGCACTAAACATAGATGTCATATCAGCCTGGTTTTAACACATCTGCACCGGCTCCCAGTAAGAATAGATTTTAAGATCATACTGATTCCTTTTAAAGCAGAGAAAGGTCCAGCCACTACTTATATTGCCGACCTTTTAACTCTTTATGAGTCCCCAGCCTTAGATCCTCTTTAGGTTGTTCCACAGTCCAGGCTCAAGACTAAAGGAGACTGTGCTCTCTCCATTAGGACGCATGTACTCTTAACGTACTGTACTCTACTCTACTCTACTCTACTGTACGGTACTCTAACGTACTGTACTGTACTGTACTGTACTGTACTCTACTGTACTCTAACGTACTGTACTGTACTCTAACGTACTGTACTCTAACGTACTGTACTCTCTACGTACTGTACTGTACTCTACTCTACTGTACTCTACTCTACTGTACTGTACTCTACTGTACTGTACTCTAACGTACTGTACTGTACTCTAACGTACTGTACTGTGCTGTGCTGTACTGTACTGTACTGTACTGTACTGTACTGTACTCTACTGTACTGTACTCTACTGTACTCTACTGTACTGTACTGTACTGTACTGTACTCTAACGTACTGTACTCTACTCTACTGTACTGTACTCTAACATATTGTACTGTACTCTACTGTACTCTAACGATGTACTCTAAGTACTGTACTGTACTCTAACGTACTGTACTCTAACGTACTGTACCTAACGTACTGTACTGTACTCTACTTACTTACTCTACTGTACTCTACTGTACTGTACTCTAACTACTGTACTGTACTCTACTGTACCTGTACTGTACTGTACTGTACTGTACTCTAACGTACTGTACTCTACTCTACTGTACTGTACTCTAACATATTGTACTGTACTCTACTGGCCTGCTAAATCTGTTTAATCTTTTAAATCCCTTCTAAAAACACACTTTTATAATCAGACATTGATGTGAATTCACACAAAATTTCCTGTGTATCCTTATGATTTAGTTTATTTTGGCACACACCGCTATGTATTATGTTTTTAATCTCTTTTTAATAGTGTGTGATTGTTGGTGTGTTTTTAGATTTTTTTCATATATTGCTTTTAATCTTATTCTTTATTGCTGCTGTTTTTGTGTGTATGTAAAGCACTCTGTAAACATTGTTTTTAGAGACCTTTATTCAAGTTATTATTAATATTATTATTATTATTATTATTATTATTATTGCATCTGTACATTAGTGACTGATTTAATGGTCCGAACCTTTCAATTTTCCTGCGCAGCCTCCGCCTCAGAAGTTGTTACCAGAACATGCCCAGACCCTGGAGAGATACGCATGGGAGTCTTTTGACCCTCACAGCCAAGGTGAATGCTCCTGAACTGATAATAGAGCAAAAAAAACGTATCAATTGTATACGTTCTCTGTTCAATGCAGAAAATGTATCATGAATACTGTGAGTGACATTCATTTGAAGTGGTGTAAACATGGATCTTGTCCTCTCCTTCAGTGACCTTCCTGCCTGAGAATGTCTTCCTGCTCCTGCAGTCAGTAGTGGTGAGTTTCATCATCCACATACTTGAACAATTCACAGGATTTCCTGATCCTTCCTGCCTCATACAGGAAAAATTATGGTCTCCATGGCCTTCACATGACAGTGATTAATGTGCTGGAGTTTGTCTTCCTTTGCCAATGGAATTATTTTTTTTCTGTTTGCAGCATTTGCAGTGGTGTCAGTGTTTGTGGACTTTTATTTGTTTTGATCATTATTTACAGTTCTTTATTGATATTTATTCATACTTCAATTACCCGTAACAAAAAAGATTCTACAACTTGTTCTGGATCAACAGGCTCGATTTTATAAGAGATTAAAAACGATGACAAGACTCTGAGAACTCGTCAAGGTCATCTAAATCTGCAGCTATGGTTTTATTTGTGCAGCGTATAACAGCAAATCTGTTTTGCAGATGGCGTGTCAGGAGAAAGACACAGAGTCCCTCAAGTCTCTTCAGACCGAGCTATGGTGAGCATTCAAAAATGTTAATTTCCATCTTGTGATGCGGGTTGAGCAGGATGTGTATTGCTTCTCAATCTGAATTCTCCGTATTGATTACGTGTTGGTGTTTTTGTTTTCCCACCCTCAGGCCGTTTCTGACTGCCGAGCAGAATCATCTTCTCCACCTGGTGGTTCAGGAGCGCATCACGCCGTCTGGACAAGGCATCTAGTACAGTCCAGTTTTTACTCACTTCCTCTGGGAACGATACTTTATATAATGGAACATTCCTGTTTCTGACTGGGTCTGTTGTAAGACCTGAAGAAGTGTTGTTTTCAAAACATTAATGTTGTAAGTTGCACGCAGTACCAAACTTTGCCCTTATTAAGCAAAGTCCTGCAGATTTAGAAATCAGTGAAAATCCAATAGCATTTTCTAGAACTGTGTGTTGTTCTTATTAACTTGATGTGAAGATTTTTGTCAGGATGATAACTTAAAACTAAATTTAAATTAATTTTAATGCAATCTTGTTTGTTCTTATTTGAGTGAGGACTACAGAACTGTAACAAACAGTTTTGAAACAAAGGCTTTGTGATATAATTTGTTTTATTAATACATGATATGGCTTAAATTCCGACGAATTACAAACAAAATTGTCTATTGCATAGTTATGAAATACGGTGAAATGAAACCACCATTGTCCTCCCTCCCTGGTTCACTTGTACAAATTACATGTACATTTCTTATGATAGCAGCCAACTACAGACACAAAATCAAACATGGTTAAAAAAAAAAAATACACTCAATGCAAAATGTTACAAAAATATAATGGTTACAATGTACATAGATTAAAAAAGGATACACTATACTTCAGTTGTAAAATAATGATACATGATTAAAACTACGTGTACTGTAAATTAAGGCTTGTCTCTCCTGATTGTTCAAGTACTTCAACAGGAATGTTGTAGTTTCGCCAACATGCCGTACCTTCACAGATACAGTATCTTTCACTCCTTGACTCTGGAAACCTGCAGTAGTAACTGTCAGCCTCACAACATGATTATACAGGATGATAAGTACTTTGATCTCAGAGTATTTTGAACCAGTACTGTACATCTCAAAGGGGCTTTTGTTTACTCTTCTCCCATATGGTCAACTCTTTTTTTTTTTTTTTTTAAGGAACAGTTTTACATTATGGGAAATAATTCTTTCTTTCTTTCTTGTGAGCGTTAGATGAGAAGATCGATTCCACTCTGTTTCTAAGAGTGGTATTAATCTTCTTACTCTTTAGTTCTCAAAATGTTGAACTATTCCTTTACAGTACTAATTGATATGGAGTTCTCCAAACCTACTATATGGAACTGCACTTAAAAGACAAAGGAAACCATTGATTCATTAATAATTTTATGCTTATACTAATATGAAATAAGGGTTGCACCCTCCTAATCTCAACTATTATTTTGTGGCCCATACTGCCCTACTCATGAATAAACTATTGCCCTCTTCTCTTTTTAATCAAATAGAAATCTATTAAGTAAAGTCCAGCCCTTCATGTAATGTAAGCACAAGTTCCATTTCAATTTATAATATTCAGAATATAAACAAATGGCTCTTGTTTAGCAATTGGACATCATTCCCCCCATTTTCCTAGCTGCAGATGTAGATCAACAATCTTCAATTTTTTTCCCTCCCAATTTTAAAACAAATCCTATTCATTACTTCCCCAAATTCAAACTGGGAATATGATCCCAGGCCTGCCCTCATTCCTCTTCTCCTCTCACTCACTCTTCTTCCGCAGGACGAGGTAGGTGATCGCTAAGATGAAGGTGAGGACAAAAGAGATCCAGGCCAGGACGTAGGAGTGTCCGTAGCCTCCCTCTGTGTCGTTGGCGTGAAGCTCAGCCGTGTAGATTGAGGCTGCTATCATTATACACAGGCCTGCAGGACAGAAAAGGGGAATACTGTCACACACACCCAGACAAGGCAATTAAGAAGTCATTATCTTTCCTATTATAAGGCTCTTAAACAAGGACGGTGTAGCAGACGGGTCCACTGCAATCACAGTGAAATGAGAAACATAGCAGTATCACCTTGTTAATTTCCAATCATATAAACTCATGACGATACATATTTTAGTCCCATTACTTTTAATTGCTGGCTGTTTTTTTTATGTGCTAGTAGCAGTTACAAATATATTCCAAAATATATTGATATAAATATCTAATTTTATTTAGGATTATCTGAATATTCTGCCCAAGTTGGAAACCAATAATAATCAATGGATTGATAGTTTGACATAAACATGTCACAGTGGGCTCTAAGAAAATGTGATAATCAGCAAATTAATCGATAATGAAATCGTTAATTGCGTCCCTTATTAGCACGTTCACAAAAGACATTATCTTAACAGATTTCGGACACATCACTTCTCAGCCACCTGTTGTACAAACTCTCACCTCAAAAGATATTATTTTGGTTTCACATTTTAGCAATATTTATTCCGGCCCCAACATCCTATTCCAACCAACAAATACCACCAAAAAATACATTTAGAGGAGCAACATGTTCTGAAAACCCCATCTCGATGTGACATTTGAGACTGAGCGACTGCACTTAGAGGATCAATCCTGAAACACGGACAGTTTTACTCTACTGCAGTGACTTTCAATCATGTGTCACTGAGGCTTCAGATTCCACAGAATAACAGGCTGGACCAGCTAAACCTGCAGACTCTTGAGCCAGGATCACACAAGAGTGAAAATCACTGACCTTCTGTATCTGCATCCATGTTTGTTTTAACACTATCATGCAGAAACACTTGTACATGCTGCAGCTGAGCTTTGCTTCCATAGACCTCGTGTCAAATGACATGTAAGGGATGCAAACAGATGTCAATATATGTTGGCTTTGCTCTTCCTCGCCTCCTCTGAGAGCAAATTAATAAATGATAAAATGCTGTACTGTTGACAGCTAAGGCATTTTATGTATAATGAAATTATTACACAGTAATAGTCTAAAAACACAAAGGTCTCCTACCGTTGTTGTACTTTACAGTAAAGCATTAAGCACACACCCTCCACAGACCGTCAGTCTCAGCGATAAGTACAAAGTATTTAAATCTATAATTCTTACAGCTGCAGGTAAGACTTTTGACTGCAGGTTACTTACAGGCGATGAACTGTAAAATGCCAGTGAAGGTGAACCTCTGGCCTTTGGGTAGGGTGAACAGCTGAGCCACAAACACAAACAGGGCCAGAATGGCAAAAACACAGGCAAGCACTGAGGTGGCCTGAATGGCCTGGAGATAGTCTGCAGTAGGAGGAAGACAAAACAGACACACAGTCAGTCAAGTGTCAACAACAACACAGATACAAGGCAATCTGAATTATAACTACTTTATTAATACTATTGACATATTACTGATAGTTTATGGACAGAATTATTCCTAAAATGATCTGATTCCTGGCCATTAATGACCTTTTCTGACCAGTTAGGAGCCTCTGATCAGCATCCTGTTGGTTTCTATATCTAAACAATCTCAGTCAAGTCAAGTCAACCTATAAACTTCCTTGTGACAAAAGTAACATTCATTCATTCATTAAAACATCCATATAGTTTTACCCTCTGGGTAGTTTTTCAGGTTGGTGTAATGCCAGACTGAGTTTGCAAACTCCCACTTGCCCCACAAGTCAGTTGACACTGTATCAGTGATCCACCAGGCCTGGAGACACAGAGGGAGAGAAGCATAAACAGATATCAAGACATACAGTGCTTGTAGCACTTGTAAACCTCTGTTTAGTTAAGGATTTGCAGATTTACTGTTTCAACAAATGTTTAGACTCGTATACACGAACAACTGTTGACAGGCCTGTTATTCACTGTCAGTTGTTCAATATTCTGAAAGTGAAAGTCTGAGGAGGTATGTAGATTTGCAACACTGCAGGTGGCAAAATATCTTCCTGACATTTGACTCCTGGGTATTTCCAGGTGGTTTTATGACATAAGTACTGGCTTGAGCTTCCACAGAGAAATACATATTGCTTTAGATGCTTGTATTTGCTCTGAAAACACGTGTATTGGCCTTTAATTGGCCTTTATCAACTCATATAAAACCTTTTTGTTCTTCCTACGCATGTGTGTGAAACGAGAAAACAAAAGAAAACAAAAGTCCACTTACATTATCAATGGTGGCCACCAGAAGCAGAATGATGGTGGTAATGTGCAGGACAACGATTCCAGCCAGCATCAACATCGTGGCCTTATGAAAACTGATAACTGATAACAGGGGAATGGAGGAAGGATGCACACTATTATTTATTTTCCACACAAGGACTTATGTAACACAGGCTTGAGGAAGCACCAATTCTCTCTCAAACACACACACACACACACACACACACACACACAGCTGTTCCCAAATAAATACTGTCTCAAAAAGAAAGGGAAAAAAGAGAGGAGAGGAAAACCCTTGCATGCAAGCCCAAACTCGCCCAACAAGTCTCGCACAGAGACATTTTTGACTCTCACACATCTGCTGTCAAACAGAAACACCTCTCTGCTCAGATGACCACTGGTATCTTATCTTAAAACTTTAAAAAAAACAACGTATTTTATTATTTGACAGCTCAAATGAATTACCATCCACTTGCAACGCCCAGAAACACTCATCCCTTTGCAATAACGACTCGTTTTTTATGGCTTTAGACTGTTTCCGTCGACAAGAAAGGCGCATTTGTTCAGTCGGTGTTTGGGCATTCCCAAATGGGTGCTGCTCCGCAACACACACACACACAGGCCCTGTACTATAGTCAACAACTTTTGAAAAGAGCGCGAGAATACCCCGAAAGAAAACAACAATAAACACACCTCTAACTTATAAACCCAAATATAAACACAGTTGACGGATCTTCGCGATGTTCATCTACACACTTTAGAGTCGCGCGTCCTTTTAATGCTTTTTTGCGCTCACAGTCACATCCGTACAATTCTTCAAAGCGCAGCTGAAAATCTGTTCAACGCACTCTTCTGCACTCTACACTACAAAAAAAAACCACACGAATCATGCGTCTCACAGCGTATGATGAGTAAGGCATAACTTTAAAAACAAATGCAAACAACGTGGATAAACGTTACCTGAAAGCACTTTAACGCACGGCCGGGAGTTTTTTTGGGAATGTGAAACACTGTAGACCCACCCAGCTTTGAATTCACAGCACACAGCACACACACACACACACACACACACACACACACACACACACACACACACACACACACCACCCTGTTTTCCCTCTCTTTCCTCTAACCAAGCCCCACCCATAAAGTTTCAATTTTTTTCCCCCCTAAGTGAAACGACCAGAAGAACCAAACGGCTTCAGGTTGCCCCATTCAACTCCAAACAGTGCGTAAAGAGGAGTAAAGTCTTCACAATTGTTCACTGTCACATGGATCTTTAACATCTCTGCTCTTTTGATATTCCCCGAACATCCTCCTTAAAGGGTGATTTCTTTCAGCTCTCACCCCATCTTCATAACAAACTGGCCACAACTGTTGAAACCCATGAAAGTAAAATATAATGTTGGAAATACATTAATATGTCTTGCAGAGCAGTGCAAGTGCAGGTCTTACTAGTGCTTTCAGACACACTTGCTGGTTCATTATGCACACAAAATGACTTCTCCAAGGAGGGGACATTAGGAAGTGATAGAGACAGCAGCGCAGTCTGAGCCCGAGACACCATCTTCATCTTCCCAACAGCACTTACACTCTGATGGCAACATGTTTCCAAGCAAATTAAATATTGGCTCATGTAGATGCAGTTTCGATCTGTAAATTAATAAAAAGCCTTTAATAGATTATTCAGTATGCCTGTCGGTCGATACTCTCACACTACACTACATCGATCCTGCTCTCACAGCAGTGACACATGTTGAGTGTGTTACCAGCAGACTGTAGACAAGAACCTGTGCAGGAACATGATGGGATCTTCAGTGTGGTTCTCACTGTTCAGTATCATGATAGTGTCCCTAGTCCTGCAACAGCACATGAGCAGTTTCATTACTGAGGAATGTAAGTCTGGTAATCACGAAAATAAGAGCAAGTTAGAGGCCAAAACGTTGTCTTACTTTACTGCCACACAGCCCTCGACCTCTCTGGCTGGCCGAGGTCATCGCTCTTTTGGAAAAGCTCTTTAAGTCTGGACAGTCTACTGAAACTGAGGGAAAGATGTGTTTACAAATTTAACCCTGCCTAATGTGTACGTAGTCTCAATTTAACAGGAGGCGCTGTGGGAACCGAAGCCATGTTGAGCTACTGTAGAGAATGCAATACACCTCATACATAATCCAGCCAAGTCTTTGTTGTCATTCCACATGTACACATATGATTTGTGACACTTTGGGGGGGGCAATACAGCAATGTATTGAAATTATGTAAATATGTATTAAAATCCTGGGTATTTTCAGGTGGGTTATAATAGCATGTGTAGGCCTGAACTCCCACTCTAAATGTAATTCATATAATACACGTAGGAATATTTTTCTAACATTTAACAAGTCATAAGTTGACTGTGAGACATTTAGTTTTCCTCTGTTAAACATCGAAGGGTAGGAATAAACCAGTAAATTCACAAACATTATCAATGGTGGCCATCAAAGACAGGAAGTACATTAACATACTTGACTCTTCAGATAAAGACAAACGGTCATATTTCAACCACAAACCGTCATATTGTAAATAGATACTGTCAGATAGGTATTATTATTGGCTGCAGTCAAATGATACCATGTTATTTGGGGATTACTTGGGAGACAGTGCATATCTAGTAAAGCCTTTTATCACCTGTCTCAGATGAGAGAAAACTTGAGTAGTTATGGGCCTTCTTATGTGTACAAAGAAGTAAGAAAAACAGTTAAATAACTTTTTTCTTTTTCTTTAAACAGGTCTCAGCTCATCTCTGCCTTTGTCTTACATCCCCTCAGGCTGTGGTATCTCAGTGAAGACCGCATGGACTAAGGGAGTCCTGATCCGAGTACTACAATGGCTGCTTTATCCTCCTGGAGGTGGGATGAGGATAGACACCATAATTGCTTCCTTTGCTCTTTTACTAACCACTCCCTCATTTATTGACAGTACAGATTCTCTCAGGACGAGCAGCCTAACCTGGGAAACATATCAGGATTAGGAATTATACCAACACTTATCCCCACTCAGGTCATCTGTGGCCGGTACAATAATATGAGGCAAGAAGAAAATACCCAGTTTACATGGCTCACTGCCGAGAGCAGAGAAGGTACAGGACGTACAGCTACTATACTGTTTAAGTAAAACAGGAAGAGGTATGTTGTTTTTTCTGTGGTTTGGCGAGGATCTACACTGGAGGCTCCCCTACAGTAAAGCCTCATCAATGGATTGAACAACCTTTAGAGATACAGTATTAACAGACTCAGTGTAATCTTTGGAAAACCCAGAAGGTCATTTAACAACACTCACCACAGTTCTGAAGGTATTTCCAGAATCCTCAAAGACTCGTCTGAACCTTTTTCTCAAGTTTCTATTATATTACCGAACCGAGGAAACCTGAAAATATCCTCCTTTATTATGTGTGTTTGAAAATATATAATGTTGGAACAAAACATCAGTAAATACCAGTGTATTAAGACATATATATTTACTGGTAAATACTCTGTTTGGAACAATAATGTGTTTCTGATTTGATTTTCCTCCAAAAAAAGCATAATTTCCACCTTACACTCCATAAGAAAGGCATCTAGTCCTCCCACCTCATAAAACATTTCAGAATCTATGAATATGCAAATTTTGTTCGTTTCTAAAGTTTTCCTGATGGGCACAAAATGTCTCCTACTTCACTATAAAGTCAGTTCTCAGTGTTTGTGCACTGGTGGCTTCAAGTTTCTACATCACACTTGTATAAGTTGCATATTGGACCAAGATTTACTTACAAACTATTTGTGATGTCACAAATCATGCCCCTTTGCTTTTCAATGACCACAGAGAAACTTTCCACTTTCAGCAGATTCATTTGAAAACATCCTTCTAGTGTCAAACTCTATACATCATTCTGCACAGAGAAGATCAAACATCCAATGGTATGAAAAAGAAGTACAACATATTTTTGAATGAAGGGGGACTTTAAGTATAGGTAGTAATACCAAAAAGGATTGGATACTTAGCTTTGTGAGTCAAATGGCAATACGTGCAAAGTGGTTCTAGGTCAAGTCTCGTATCTGTGGATCAGACCTATGAAACCAAATATCTCTTTTAGAGTGAATAAATTCTCATAAGTACTGTGTTACATAGCGTTGTGCAATGACTGGGCGCTGATAGACCTATTAGTGTAAGTCTGTGTTTTTATTATAGTACTGCTGAGATGAAAATCATTTGAAAGCTGTATTATTATCAGAGGGCACAGGAATGGAGCAGGGGAAGCATTTTCTCCTGGCAGTAAGTCTGAATAGAAAATTGAAACCATTATATCTGACCCCTGATGGTTTGTCATATCCTCACAGTGAATTGTGAGTGGGTGCTGAGCAGAGCTGGTTCCCCTCGTACGTCACTCCTGAGTCATTGGAGTTTTTCTATTCCCATCACAACATGTGGGCCTCTACAGGAAGTCCAATCTAACATCCAGTGTGCAGTGAGTTGTCCATTGGAAAGACATTATATAGAAGTAGCTGCTGCTGAAAGAGACCTTATTTAAAATGGGGAAATCTTTCAGGGACAAATGCTGACAATAACCTTATTTCTAGCTCTGACTGTTTCTTTGTGTTTAGTCTACAAAATGTATATTCAGTCTTGAGGAATTATTCATCCACCGAGACATCTCAACAGGATGTAAAATGGGGACATCCTACCGCCAAACCAACAAACACAAATACAAATTTTTACACCTTTCCTAAAGAGGCGTATAGATTACATTTTGTCTGCCCACCACTTTGGACTGAAATATCTACAACTACTTGATGAATTGCCATAAAGCTTTGTACAGACATTCATGGTTCCCGAAACAATCAAGCCTAATGACTTTGGTGACCCTCTGACGTTTCCTCTAGCGCCACCATGAGGTTAACATCTTTTGTTTTAAGGAAAATATCTCAACAATTACTTGATGGATTGTTGTGAAATCTTCTGACTTTCATCTAGCGCCATCATGTTGTCTAAATTTGAATTTGGCCAGTACTTTGGTTCATGACTAATTACTAATACTAATGCCTCAGCTGTACTTTGTGTTTAATGCTAATTAGCAATGGTTAGCATGCTACAACACGTCACTAAACTGGTGTACATGATAAACATATATACATGCTTAGCATCAGCATGTTAGCATGCATTAGCCTTTAGTTAAAAAAACCCAGCTATGTCTGAGTACAGCTTCACATAGACACTAGAATGGCTGCAGACTCTTGTTTCTCTCTAAGGATCACCCAACAAAAACAGCAGAGGACACATGCAGCAACAACGTGCTGAAGCTGTTATGTAGCACTCATCTTCCCACAACATATCTCTTTGTTCAACACTCCCCAGCTCCCAACTCTATCCAATTCCTTTTCAAGTGTTACTGCACATCCAACACAACATCCAATTGATTACCACAGTTGACACTGCAGGATTTAAGTTTCAAAAAGTCAGAGCTTTCCAAATTAATTCCAGAGGGTCTCATTGCCTCTGGACACTCAGGCTTAGCGGGTCCATGATAATGCAGCCTACTGCACATCAGCAGCAACACAATAACCAAGAAAACTCCACCGCAGTCACATCTGACCAAACACCTCATGACTCATACCTGCAAGACTATTCCTTCACTTTTCATCCCTCCACCTCAAGCACAAAATGTTGGTCTATAACTGCCAATTTCAACCAATTTCTTCTTCAGCCAAACCATAATGTAGGACAGTGGTTCCCCACATGCGGTCGCAAGATAAATCTGAATGTCTCTGCTACACAAATGTATGCTTATTTCCTACTATACTCTGACTTCATCAGGACCCCTAAAAAGTATCCAGTCTTTGGTTGAAATGGCCACAACTGGCAGACATATGCATCTAGTGACGAGGAGTCATAAGTAGACACTGTTTTGTTTTTTTAAGGGGTCACAAGCTAAAAAGGTTGGGAACCAGGACTATGATGAAACTTGGTGTCTAAGCAGCCACCTCCTCCCTGCACAAAACCACCCACAAGATGTCGAGCATCAGGAGACTTTTTACCTCTTCTCGCCCACAAATACCAAATGGAGATTGTCTACGAATGAAAGAAGACAGATTCAGTATTGTCTGTTGATTTTCAATAAAATACTGTTTGTGTTTGGTTCCAGGGATTAAGTTTAAGTGATACAATGTGTTCATGTGACCATCAGCAGTACAGTGCTACAGAGATTATGTACGGTCTACAGAGGTTCTGATATATTGGCATGTTATAACCAATACCAGCTTCACAGAACAATAAGCATCCAACAAGATATGTGGGCCTAATTAACTTAATACAACTGTCATATTAGCAATGGAGTTCTTTGAAAAACAAAAACAATATTACGTTACAGTAAATTCAATCTTAAAAGTTTTTCACATGCAAATATGATTACAGACCATACTGGATGAAAAATACTGGTCTCACTTTCTGACTGTTGTTATATTTCAGGAACCTAAATTACTGTCATGTTCTAAATCAATAGCACCATGATATACAGTTATGTTTGTGTATCAGTACAGGGACTTATATAGATTACAAATGAGTGAATGTTAAATAATTATTCATGAAAATGTTGTACACTGTCACTGTAAGATAAGATGTTCTTTTATTGATCCCCAGTGGGAGAAATTCAAGTTTAACAGAGCAGTGCTAGTGTAAAAATACAATAAAGAATAATAAAATAAAATATAATAAGGATATAATAGAAAATATAAAGACTAGAATGAAAAATATATATACTATACACTAGATTTACTGTATTTTGGCTCAGTTATACGTTTTTGTATCCGGCCTTACCGTCTGCGCTCCTGTAGCTTTTTAATTGGTCCACTCTTGATGACTCTTAATTGACGGCCCTCGTGTGCAGGTGAGGCCTCTGTGCGCATGCGAGCAAAAAAGCATCAACAATCCGGCGATGTCTTGCAAACAGAAAACAGAAAATACTTCGTTTTTACTCGTGGTTACCGTTTATTTTTACACTTTTCTCGTTTGTTACTCGGTAAGTTTAGGACAGCGGGAGGAAGGTTTGACTGACTACCAAGTTCAAGAGTCCGCAGCTACCTGGTTGGAGAGGATTAAACAACAGGACGACGTCCAGCTGGGGAACTGGCGCCTGGTTGAACAAGTTATCTCCGACCCAAATGTGCGCAAATCCACCGAGATTCAGCCTGAACCTGCAGCCTTCCCCGGAGAGCCACTGCTGTATTTCAATGTACCCAAACTCGGTGAAAGTGACAGTAACTGGACTATTGGTGATTTCCACAGACAGCCAAGGTCTGAAGACAAATATCAAGCAGATTTTACAGGTGAAAGCGCCGATTTATTTAACCCATCAGTGTCTGTTTACATTTAGTCAACTTGGGCTGAAGACTACAATGTTTAAAATCTGGAGGTGTGAAGTTAAGTCTCTGCTGGAAGCTAACCGAGGCTACGTTAGCCCCTGAGTTGCATTGTGGGTAATGAAGGCGCCAGGTTTTGACAAGAAATAAGTGTGTGAAATAAAACAAGATACTTAACATGGGCGTGCAGTGGTACATTGGTGGAGTACTCTCTTTAAGAGATGTTAGTGCAGGGATACTTGGTTTGCCTTGGGGCCACGATGTGGCTGAATAAGACGACTTCAAAGTCATAATGTCATTGTTGTGGTGCTTCCTGGCTGGAGCTCTGCACTGAAGTTACCCTTAAGTGACCGTAGTTTAGGATTAGAGTGAGGTGGCAAAATAAAGCCACATTTATCTGTCCATTTTTCATTGAAATGCCTGTTTTTATTGTTTATTTGCTGTCCTCACTCATCTTTTCCAAGAGACAAATCCAGTCGCAGCAGCTCAGAAACAAAGTGTCAGTGCTTCTGTGCACTGCACAGATAGCAGATGGTGAGGTTGGTGATGATGGCCGAGGTTAATATGCAGCATCCCAAGTAACAGCCATTACTAATTATTTTAAACGAACCAAAAAATCTGAGTGTGAATGAATTTATTTTCATTGTTTGTAAGAAAATGATCGGCTGGCAACTGTGTTGTGTTAGTGCTTTGACCGACAGTAGAGCAGTGGTTCCCAAGCTGGGATTCCACTGGGGGGTCGCCAAGACTTCATGTAGGGGTCCCAAAGCCTTCTTGATTTTAAGCGATGTAAGAAAACGTGAAAAAATATACACAGTAGGCCTATATCTCAGCATTTTGTTCATTTCTGTGAAGAAAACTAAATGAAATTGTATTTCTCTTTTAAGTTTAGAAAGTATGTATGAGTGTTACAGACTCAAAATGAATCCAAATTACTTGTTTTACACAAACTTCCTGCAGTTATTGTATTCACTATTTGGGTTCATTATCCAGTTTAGCAGTTGTTCAGAACTGTTATTGTCACGCATTGAATATAATATAAAATATCCATAAAGTATGTCACTTGGTCAGCGGTTGTCTGTTTACTCAATGATAGAAAAGGGGTTCCTTAAGGAAAGGTGTTGGACACCACTGCAGTAGAGGCTAAACCGACCTAATCTCTCCTTTATTTACATGTTGTTTTTATATCATTTAGGTTTTGGTGCAGTCCAAGGGAAAGTTTTGGGCCCATCATTTGATTCCACTCCACATTTCTCTGAGTGGGTGGCTATGAGACCTTTGGTGCAGTGTGATGATAATGTCATGACCTTCACTGCCTCTGGACAAGGACTCGCACACCTGTTAGTGGATAGAGGTAAGATATACTTCTGGTGCTGTTTGAATTTAGTTCACCAGGCTCAGATGGAATATGCAGATGGCGGGAAGGACCTCTTGTTGCAGAGGATGCCTTCATTTCTTGCAAGAAAAGTGTCAAAGAGGCACATAGTTTCACATAGCGAGGAGAGTGATTGTAATGCATATTTAAGGTTTAACATGCATGAGCCTGTTTTGCTCCCTATTTTATGCTGGAGAAGATTATTACAGTAGCAGCAAAAGGCTTTATACAGAGGTAATTTAAAATGCACATGTAAATCTAGTAACGTATAGGCTTTGGTGGGAACTAGTGTCCTATTGATCTGAAAAACAATCGCAAGAGCTTAAAGTAATCCTTATTTTCATTTTCCATGAATATGCCTTTTACTCCCAATTAGTTGATTATTTGTTTATGCTGTTAAATGTCCAAGAGCACAAGATAAACATTTTTGCAACTAACAGTCTGATCTTAAACAAAGAAAATCAGCAACCTCTTACATTTTAGAAACTGGTGAATATAAGCCACGTAATATTAGGTGTTTCAGCTTGATAAATGCTTATAACCATTCATCAGTTATCACAGTTGTTAATTAATTTTCAGTAGATTGATTTAATCTTCCAGTTGTTTCAGGACTGAAATGAGCTGTTCGACATTTGATCTTTACAGAAGGAACCTCTCCCATCTCCCTGTTCCAGTTGCCTTCATACTGTGGTTACTCAGTGAGGACGTCATGGAGTGACCTGGAGATGATGGTGCCTTATGATGCATGTTACATTACACAGGAGGTACCACCAGCACCTGCATTATATGCCTATCAGTATTCATTCCTCTGTCCTTAGTTCATCAACCCCTTTTGTTTTTCTTTCTTTCAGAATGGCAGCTACGTGCTGCCCATGTTGTGGTGGGGCAGCCCACTGAAGCTCTCCTGCCCAGTGCAGATGTCCACCTCTGCCCCCTCCTTGCCCCCCTTAGTCTATTGCTCCCCCTACGGCATGGCAGTGCAGATAGATGGGCAGGAGCAAGATATAACAATGCTGGGAGTCGTAGGTATATTGGCTTTCTCATTGGATTAATGCTGAGGTGTTTCATACATTTAAATTGTTTTTAAATGACAGTTATTTTAATGGTATTTTTTTTCTTTGATATTTATCTGAAGAATATTTAAAATCTGAATTTGACATGCTCGTCATGTCTTCAGAAATAAATAATGAAATAGAGGATTCATTATATATCCACTAGAATTGTATTCCTTGCAGTGTGGAGAAGGCCTCTGAAACAGAATTTGGGCATAATTTTAGAAATAAAAAAGGCCACAGTTTATTTTACATGTCCATAGTTTCCTAATAAATCATGAGGATATTTACTGGAATACATTACATAATCTGATACTTTGTGTAGGTAAAGCACATAATATCAGATTGAGTTATCAGCCTAGAAATATGTGTGTTTAAGCTGTCGAATGTAAACTTTTATTGAAATTCACAGAAAAAACAAAAACGTGTAATGTGCTTTACAGTGAATGGACGTTGGGGTCCATTTGTGTCTGAAGAGTGTGCCTACCGTGTCTCCTCCAATTCTGAGCAGCTTGCCTTCTTCATCTCCTACAGTGCTCCGTGTATCATGGATGGAGTAAGTTATTTAACTTATATGCATTATTGCGGCGGGCTGCCACCTGCACCAATAATATTTTACGTTTGATGTTTTTTTTCCCAGGATGGTCCTTATCTCCAGCTTATATTAGATGAGCAGGAATACGTCCTCTCCTGTCCAGCCAGTGCTCAGGTTCCCTACATCCCCTCTCCTCCTCTGTCTCCTGATGACCACCAGTTTCTCCAAATCCCAGAACCTGTTGGCCCTGCACCCACCTCCCCTCCTCCTCCTCCTCCCCCTCCTCCAACCCAGGAGCAGATTGCTCAACTTCCTAACTACCCCCACTATCCTGGATTCCAGTACCCCCAGCTTCCCCAAGTCTACCCTCCTGGCCCACAACCTGGCCGTCCCCCTCAACCCACTCCTGGCAGTCCTCCTGGTTCGCAGCCCCAGCAGCAGCAGCAGCAGCAGCAGCAGCAGCAGTCCCTCTACCCCTCGGGACCTGGCAAGCTGCCGTACTCTCCTGGAGAGCCCCCAAAATACCCTTCCCTTCTTCACCAGCCTCCTGCGGTGGTCCAAGCTCCGTCCTCCCCCGATCTTAGCCCATTGCTGGATATTTCTTCCCATCAAGTTTCCAAATTCCCTGCTGGCCCTTCTCAACATCAATCTGGTATGCATTACCCTTATGTGCCGTTCTACTACCCTGCAGTGACACCAGACACCACTACTACAACTGCTCCTCCAGCTACCCAACCACCCGAACATCCAGCAACTCTTTATCCCCCACAGTATTACCTTCAGTTACCTTACTATCCTGCACCCACTGCAGCACCAGTGACCCAAGCACCTGCTTCCCTCCCTCCCAGCCCACCGTCTCCTCTCTCTCCACATAAACAACAGTACCCAGTCGGCCCATTTTATCCACCAGCATTTTATAACTCTCACTATCATTATGGACAGTTTCCCTACCCTTCACATGCTACAGTCGTTCCACCTCTCACCACAACTGCCACTACGACAATGGTTCCCAAACAACCTAGCAGCCCCAGCTATTCCTTCAGCCAGTTCTACAACCAAAGACCCATTTACGTCCCACCAACCACACCTCAGCCATCTGCCAAAGAAGAATCTCCAACTATTCCTCAGGAACCTCAGAAACCAGCAGCTCCACAAGCCTCCTGCCCCCCTTATGCTCACACAATTTGTGGCTACTACCCTTATCCCTATTTTCCCTATTACCACCATATGTCCCTGCCATACTACCATCCATCTTACCCCCCTGTGCCCCAGTATCCAAAGACACCAATGACCACCACAAAGCCTCTCACCTCAACCACCACCACCACTACTACAACTACCACCACCACAAGTTCTACAGCAGCTCTCCCGACTGAAACCACTCCACAAAACCCTGATCTCCAGTGTCTGATGGGGAGGATGGTTGTCTTCCTGCCTTTTGCTCACCCAGACTCCATCCAGGTCAGAGGTCAGTGTTTGTGTTAGTGAGAAGTTTGGCTATTCATGTTTTCAAAGAGAAACAGTTGTGAAAAAGTGGAAAGATTTTTTTATAAAAAATAATTTGCATAATATCCAAGTCTCTTCGAAGCTCTATGTAAATAATGTATTTGATACTATGGCAACCCCCTGACCTCTCCTCTAGCGCTACCATGAGGTACAAAAGTTTGGTTTTGTTGGATGGACTGCCCTTAAAATTTTGGTACCACACATTCTGTGCCTCTCAGGATGAATTGTAATTACTTGATGATCCCTTTTTTATCTAAATTCACCATCAAGACAACACTTCAATTTGTTCAGTACTTTGGTTTATGATCAAATACAACTCATGACGTTCAGTCTCATCTGTAATTTGAGTTCCCTGCTAATTAGCAAATGTTAGCATGGTAACAATGCTAAACTAAGATCCAATCCAATCCAGATGGTTGACATGGTAACATACTGGTAACCAACCACAGTGTACCTAGATCAGCTTTTACTTCTCAACAGGGCACAAAATTAGCCCCATTTACCGGCCAATTGCTGGTAAAATATTAAAGTGGATGGTGGAAAAAAACAGCTTTGCATCCTGCTTCTGAATTTAATCTAATTTTGTTACAGATATCAAAGATCTAACTATCATTGTTTCTAACTTCAGACCAAATGAAGTCATGGCTGTTCCTCTCCAGTGTGTCTCCACTGTGTGGGTACATGCTACAGATTGCTGAGGACTCTGGGGTAATCCTTCACTCTCCTCTGCCTGCCTGCCACAGCGAGCCACGGGTGAGATCCTCCATAATGCCTCGTCACTGCCTGCATGTGTCATTTTTATATAATTGCTTTTACTTTAATCAAGTCCCTGTTCTTAATGAGAGTTTCTTTGATGTAGTGTAGTTATCTGATGAGTAGATGAACTTGTTAGACACTCAATTAAAAAAAGAGAGCCTTTTAAATCTGGATTTATAGTAAGGGTTCTTAAAGTGCTCATAGATCAAATTTTTGGATGCCATAAAGTGTGTAGAATCAAAAACCCTTGATTTGGAAAGAAAATACCTCACACTGTCCATAACTTAAATTCTCTTTATAGACTGTTTTGGGCCTTTCATGAAGGTCTGAGGACTGAGTTTGCCCATTTAAAATGTACATTTTGTCAATACAAGTCGATTACAGAATGACAATTCAACAGCTCCATACAGACATAAACTTAAATTAGTTTGACATGAGCTATGAATAAATTAAAATGGGCAGACAAAATACTGAAAATGTCTTCATGCAGTCCAATACAATGACACCACAAAGTAACACATTTTCTTGTATTGCTGACGCTGGTGGTTTGCATCACTTAGGTTGTCAGTACAGCGATTTATGACACCAGTCCTGCTAGCATATAGAACACAGACGAGTAGTTTTTCCCAGTCAGCACCTCATTTTTTACGATTAATCCCATATGGACTGTATGCAGCATTTTCTCTGCATGCATCTGCACTGGGTGGAGTTTTTTATCTTCTGTGCAACCCAACTGGTAAGAACCCTTTTTTGTGTGTGTGTGCGTGTTTAGCTCAACTTGCAGACTCTATTTTTAAAAACAGTAGCTGGAAACATGCATGGTGGTTCATCCTGGCTATTGATCTCTCTCTCTCTCTCTCTCTCTTTAGACTCCCACCATCATTTCCTTACCTCTGAGTTTTTGGGACCTTTCCATGGCGAAGTATAGGACTCTGGACTTGCAATGTCCATATCAAATGATCCCTGAAACTCCTGCACCAGTTACAGCACCAGTTACCCCATCAGTGTCCCCTGCCCCACCCAGCACAACCGTGAGCAAGGTCAGCCCAACTGTTGTCCCAAAGCCTGAGGTCTTCTGCTCCTCCGATCAGATGACCGTGGAGCTCCCCTCTGGTCCCATCTCTGGAATTGTTGTTAAAGGTGTGTGTGTGCTTGTCTATGTCTGTGTATATGTTCCAGGTGCATATGGTTGCCATCAGCTATGCATGAGTTGAATTTTAACATGTTTCTGGGGGGCAGCTCTGGTGTGCAGTTGAATGGGGGTTGGGAAAAGGTAGGCCTAGCTTTTGTTTTGGCTGGGCAACACTTAGACTTTGTGCTTCGCCATGCTGAGAGCTATAATTGTACCATTTTGAAGTCTACACAAAAATAACTTGTATGTTTCCACATGTGCTTTTTCAGACATCAAAGGGAACCATATGAACCTCCAGGATGCCCCAAAGCACTGTGGGTATTCTGCAAGAAAAGGCAAAGATGGCAAAATCCGTTTGAGTCTCCAGTTACACTCCCGCTGCCACATGAGTGTGCAGGCAAGTATTGACTCAGATTTCACACTGAGCACATGACCTTTTGTATAATTGACCATTTGCTTTACCCATTAACTGTTGTATAAACATTTTTCTCTAAAAGGGTGAAATGTACATCATCACCATCATCTACATGACAGTAAATGGGAGACGGGAGGCTCAGTTTTTCTGTCCAGTTCTCATCCAGGGGTCCGGACAAGGTAGATGGATTTTATACCTCTGAAAGGCTATTCATTTTGCCAAAGGGTGTTTTCTCCTGGCCATTCAGAGTTATTTTAACTGTGCGGCTGACATTTGTCGTGCTGTCCCTCAGAGTGCAACCTTCCCAGCGAACAGCGTCTCCCCTGCGGACCCGGCTCTGTATCCCAGCCACAGTGCCTCTCCATGGGCTGCTGCTTCAGCAAGCAGCCCCCTGCCTGCTACTACCCCATAGATGGTGAGCTGCAGTTTGTATCCTCCACTGGCATTTTCACGCCACTTAGCTGAGTACAGTTGAGCTGTTTTGGGTACGGAAATGTAAGCACTACAGCTGCTGGATGTGTGAGGAGGCATATTAGGGGCCAGCATAGCATGATTCAAGCTGGCAGTGACACAGAATATGAAAAGGGTATAAGATACCTTGGGTCTCATTATCAATTGCCTCCTGAGACTTCTGACCTTTTGTTCATCTGACCTTCACATAACTGTGAATGTGTATCTCTGTATGTGTGTGTTTGTTTGTGTCCTCCTCCAGAGTGCACTATTGACCGCCACTTTGTCTTCTCCGTGCCCGCCTCCCTCACGGAGCCCCCTCTTTCCCCTGCCCTGCTTGTCACTGCTGGTAACTCCAACTGCAAACCTCTGAGAGTGACTTCAGACTACGCTTTGTTCAAGATCCCGATGGATGGATGTGGGACGCGCAGAGTTGTAAGCTTTAACGAATGAAAACATTTCCCAAAATATGGAAAAGTTGAGACCCTGAGTCTCTGGAGTGAAAGTTAATGGAGTGTTTATTTAAAGGACATGTTTTTGTTTTCTACAAACCCCATCAAAAGACCTAAATAAACAATGAACTGATACACTGCAAGTACTTCCTGTGTAGCCCAACTGCCCTAATTGACCTATCCCAGTCAACCACAGTTCCTGGACCATTTAGTATTTACTAGTGTCTATACACTGAATTGCATGTCTGATTCTGTTGTCACAGATGGTGGGGAAAACCATGATCTACATCGTGGAGGTCATCAACAAGGTTCAGGCAATCAGTCTCAACTATGGCACCATAACAAGGGATTCGCCTGTGAGGTCAGAGCGTGTTGTTTTTTGTTAGCGGGAGTGAAAGTTACCCGTTCACCCGAGGTTTAAGGTTTTCATTTTGACCAAACACTGAATAGGGTGATTTACTAATTAGTTTATCTATTATTAAGTTAGTTGAGCTCTAAAGTTACACACAAGGTTTTAGTAGAGTTTCCACATCCGTCTTTTATACTCATTAGAAAACGCAATTAATCATACATATTAAAGCTTAACCCATCTGACATTGACTACCTTTGCAAAAAGTATATCAACAGTAGAGGGGGGTGTACCATCTCATCACAATGTTCCTGGTTTAATTTCAGCCGTGATTGCAAGTAATCCCCATTCTCTTTCTCTGCATTTCTTGTACAGTTTCACATTCAACCGTCAAATAAAGGCAAAAATGCCCAAAAAACAAACTACAGAGTGTACATCGTGTTCCATCACTACGTCTCCTGTCTCATTTTCAGGTTGTTGGTGGAGTGCAGGTATCTGCCTAGCCCTGTTCTCAGTGTGAGCTACATGGTTAAAACTCCCACTGTTGGACCTGCAGTTCAGACACAGGGGGTGTTTGGAGTCCAGCTCAGGATTTCCAAAGGTAGATGGTCTAAATTTCAATACTAAAAACTTTCATAATTAAGAAATTATAATTTTGTGCTGTTTTGTCTCTGGGTTGAAATTTTTGCGAGGGAAGACTGATGGAAACTGATGATAATCGAATATCAAATCTAATATTATCCAGTATTTCAGCATCATGTGAATGCTTCAGACATATCCTGATCAGCTGTGGGAGAACTCGTAAGGGAGAACTTGTAAGAAATAACCTCCTTCTATTCCAATCCATCATCATCCTAGACGCCCAGTACAGCAGCTACTACCCTCAGTATCACCAGCCCCTGCAGATGCTGCTGGGTAAACCCCTCTACCTGGAAGTACGGCTGCTCAACACCCCAGATCCCAGTTTGGTGCTGCTGGTGCACTTCTGTGTGGCTTACCCCCGCTCAGGAAAAGCTGTGTGGCTGCTGCTTTACAACGGGTATGTAGAAACATCTCCTGTGTGAAGAAAACATAAATGGAAATAAAGATTCAGTACACATAAATATGATTAATTGAGAGGACATACCAGGGAAAATGAAGGGAAATATATGTTTGATACCTGTTCTCCTGTTGTGTAATTGGCTGACTAATTTAATGTTATTCCCTAGGTGTCCCAACCCCTTGGACCCAGCCCCGCAGCAGGCTGTGCTGTTTGATCCTCGACCACCCTCTCCGCAGGCTCAGACCCGCCGCTTCACCATCAGCACCTTCCAGTTCCTTCCTGATGGTGAGTTCAAGGACCCAGACGAAGAGGTAAGGATGAGCCGTGAGTTCATGATTTTAGACATTTTACAGCAGTATAAATTTCCTTCTTAGTGACATGGCATTTAAAATAATTTATGGCAATATTTAAAGGAATAACTGAACATTTTGGGAAATATGCTTTCTTGCTGAGTATTAGATGAAAGGATTGGTACCACATTCATATTTCTCTCCTTGCTGTAGCTTCATATTTAGCCTACAGTTAGTTTATCTTAGCATAAAGACTTCCTGTCTTTATGCTGGGGGAAAACTGCTTGCCTGGCTCCATCCAAGGGTAAAAAGCCTGCCTACCAGCACCTCTAAAGCTCACCAGTTAATAAGTTATATCTTGTTTGCTAAATCAATACAAAAACCAAAGTGTAAAACTGACAAGTTTTGGTTTATAGAGGTTATGAAGTGCTGGTAGGACTTTGGACAGAGCCAGGCTAGCGGTTTCCACACTTAATGCTAAGCATAGCTAATCAGCTGTTGGCTCTGGCTTCCTATTTAATGGAAAAAAAATTCACTGTTGCTTTAAGCATGCTTCCACTACAGTTTTTATGTGTTGTAGCAAGGAAGAACATTTTAAACGTGCAGCTGTTGGCCTTGAGTGTCTGTGAATTTTCCCCCTGGGAATCAATGGTCTTATCTGAGGGTGGCAGTTGGCATTGGGCCTTCTTTATTTTCTAAAAAAAAAGTACATGTAAATCTGTAAAGTTATGTGGCTATTCTCTCAGTACAAGTTCACACAGGTTGTTTTGTTTATTTAGTAGAGGCATATGAAGTCTGTGGAAAATGAAACCACTGACAGCTGTATCTCTAAATCTCTTAAGTCAGCATTCATTACAAGGATATGTGGAGAGGCCATTTTGTAAACTGCAAATTCTGGCCAAATCTCAATTGGCAACAGCTGTTTGTCATAGTACACTGCACACTCTCACGACTGGACACTAGATCAAATCCTGCTCTACTTTTTGCTCTCAGATCTACTTCATGTGTTCAACCGAAATCTGCTCGCCACGTGATGGGCCTTGTGTCGAGGGATGCTTTGGCCAGTGATGGTAAGGAAAAATTTTGCTGTCTGTCCTCAAATCACCCACCACACCCGTATGAACTGTGGAAGGTCGCGTTTGAAAACACCCATGAATGAACTTCATTACAACACTCACTCACTGGAAACAGCCCGAGAGCCAGTAGTGACTGCAGTTCCATATGACAGCAGGACAATGATTTAGTAATGAGGAGAGTTTTGAATTATTTATTAAGACTGATCCATTTCCTGTTTTTCAGTTACGACATGGAAGATGCTTGAAGTTGGTGGAGATGATGATCTGGTAAGCAGCACTAACATGTGTTTAATTCATGCACAAATACACCAAAGTTACTTTCTATACTGACCATATGTCCCCCCTTTTCAGGCCTCAGACATCACTTGTTAAACCAACAATAAAAGCTCTTAGAGGACAATGAAAGTGTGTGTTTTTCTTCCTATGTTTGCACCCACTGGGTTTTACAGCAGGAAGTGGCACTCCATCAAAAAGGTGAGAGGCAGCATTGTTTACGTGAACATTTGGCCCTCGCAGACAGCATGGTTGAGGTTGCTTTGTTCCCATTTGTGTAACATTCAGTAGGTTTACAGTAATAAACGTATACATGTTTGAGCAATAGAAGTGGAGGTTTTGCATATAACCAAAGTTATGTGACACAGGGAAATGAGATACAAAACAAGTACGGGGACTGCGTTCAAAAGGGAACTTCAGAATATGTTCAAGCTTGATCACAAAGACATGGTCAGATTAACTTGGTTCAGGGCGCTGAGACAAAAATGAGCTGCTGTGCCCCTATTAACCCCCACTGTGCAATGTGCACAGAATTACTCTGCAGGAATATTACATAGCCCTAGGGTTACTGTGTGGTAATTTGATTATACACATTCATTTAGGATTATGCACTTGGTAAGCACATATGAGATGGTTTGACATAGTCTCTGTCTCTTTCAAATATGAGGCCTCAAGATCAGGTAATAAAACAAGACCCACCATAAAGGCTTCAATTATATCGGTTGATTCTCTGCTTTAGTTTTTATTTTAAAATTATTAATCAAATCACTACAATCCACTTGCCACGCAGTACAGTGAACCCGGGGGCTTTTGGTGTCCTGGCTGGGACAATAGCCACTTTGCCCGGTGGGTAATCCAGCCACACTTATAGCAGCTTCAACTTTAGTTTATTTAAACTTCACTGCTAGATGCCACTAAATCCTACACACTTGTTCTTTAAGGCTACAACTAACTAATGGGGGAAACGGTTAGCATGGCCACCGGCACCACTGAAGCACACTAATTATTACATTGCATCTCATTTGTTTTATCTGTATAAAACCTGAAATGTAAAAGTGTTGTGGTGTATGTTATTAACAGGCAGGCAAGCGGTGGAGAAGTCACTGCTCCCGGCTCAGAAATGGCCCCACATACAACCTCCGTAAAACCACAACCTTTTTTCAAGCCTTTTTATTTCCTTTTGTGTGAATTAAATGAGATACAGTGGGTTGATTATTGAGTTTTAGAGGTGCTGCTATGTGGATTTTGCTATCTTTGGACAATTCTAGCTGTTTCCAGTCTTTATGCTAAGCTAAGCAAACAAACTCCCTGCTGTATCTTCATATGGAACAAATAATAATAATAATACATAAGAGTAGTAGATAATCTCAACTAACACGAAGCAGGAAAGCAAATAAGCGTCAAAATGTTGAACTATTACTTTAAAGGAAGGATTTAGTGGTTTGCAACTAACTGAACACTGCTCGCGTCTGTATTTGACGAGCTGGGAATGACAGCAGGCTTTGAATTGTGTAGGAGAAACTATTGTGGATGCAAAACTCATGAAAAATACAGCCAGTATTTGGTTTGTCCGTTCTAGGCATGTAGAGACATGGTGGTTCAACATGGAAGGCGACCTGCGGTGTCTGTAGATATAAACATCTTATTCTATCGTAACAAAAACAAAACAGTTCCTATAGTGAGGTGATTACACACAAATGAAAACATTCGTATAGATATACTTTTACATTTCTGCCAACAGATGCAAATGTTACACATTTTTCACCTTTTAAAGTTAAAGTAGAAATCAACTGAATGTTTACTGAGAGTCACACAGGAAACATGTTTATATTTTTTAATATAATCCAGGCAGAGTTAAATAACAGCACTGAGAGAGTGAAGAACCCGTTTAAAGCCCTTTGCAAGTCAAGAGGGGAGAAAATCAGCTTTTGCTTGTATTATAATTTGCTCAAGCAAATTGCCTTTGAAGTATTCGCCTCTCATGGTAGCCTTTGACCACTGGGTGTCATCCAAGCAATAAAAATGCCAGAGGAACATAAGGTACTCCATGCTGCATGACTCACAGCTGGGCTCGTGTGAAGACCTTGGCCTGTTGTATTGGTTGTGTAATGAGTTAGGAATGAAATCTTGACTGTAAGCCCACCCTCTGCCATCCTGTCCGCCGTTAAAGCAGCAGAGAAAGAGGTGGAAACTCCTAAAAAATATAACATGTAATGTACAATTGTGTGCAGGTAGATGTGAAAGGAGCAGTCGGGTTTAAAGATTTTTGGGTACATACTGTAAGAGCACGGCGGTCTCCCATCATGGCTATGGGAACCCCCCTCCCCTCTCTACCTCCTCACCTCCTCACCCCCTCACCCCCCTTCACTAACGCACCTCCTCCCCTCAGTGAAATGTATGGAAGCACTGCGGCATACTGCGTGTGTTTGCAGGCTGCATGGCTGCCTGGGCTCTGCGTTCAAACGGAGAGCGGAAGATAGGAGGAGGGGAATGACTACACCAAGAGAGTAGGAGGAGGGAGGGAGAGAGAGAGAGAGAGAGAGAGAGAGAGAGAGAGAGAGAGAGAGAGAGAGAGAGAGAGAGAGGGAGGACAATTTCCTTTCTGTAACACACACGCTACAAGATCACACCGGGAAAACGGAGAGAGCTAAGAAAATAATAGGCGAGAGAAAAGAAAGAGAGAGAGAGAGAGGGGAGAAGGAAACACCGCAGCCCCTCCGTCCGTCCATCCGTCCGTTGTTTTGTTTTTTCAAGGAGGAAAAAAAATCGTCTTTTCTCTTTTAACGCAGACCTGCGGACTAACATGGGGGAGAAGAGAGAGCTCCTGACGAGGATTGACTTTCAGTGAACCTCTGTGCTGCAAGTCTGTGGCCAATAGACAGGAGAGGAAGAGGAGAAAAAAAGGCGACAGGGAAGACATGTTTGAGGTTTTTTTTTTCCTCGTCTTGAGGTTGCGGTAGGATGTTGATGTTGTGCTGTTGAAAACACAGACGGCTCTCTCTCTTCCTAATAAAAGAAGGAAATATAAAAACGAGGGCAGATGGAAATTGGGCGGTAGGTTATGCTCAGGAGCCATCGGTGTTTATTTAATTGGTTTGTTATGATCTGAAATAACGTAGGCCTCTCAGGCAGCCCCGCAGTAAATAAATACACGGTCAGCAAACAAGAGGGGGCTACATAGCTGGAAATTAACCTGCTTATATTTCAGGGGACGCGTGTTTTTTTTTTTTTTTTTTATTGGAGCAACCTGTTTTTGTAAGGTAAAAAGCAGTGTTTGTGAGATTACATTTCTTAACTCCGGGAGCCAAAACATTTCCAGATACATCAACTCTTTAAGGGGTCATACAAAGGCCCAGTGGAAAACACAGTAAAGGCTACTTGGCTTGCATTAAAGGACTATTTTAACGCAGGCTGGCTTTAAGCACAAAGGTGCACAAGAGTAGGTGTAGTTATATATATAAATATCCTGCCCACAGTTTTAGCTGAAGACAGGGGACAGAAGAAGATTTTTAAATGTTAATGTCGACCGACGTTGCATCCATCATGCTGCCTGTGTCCCGGGGTCTCATGGACCGGGATAGAGAGCTGGACACCATGGCCGGGGTGCATCCCAATGCGGGCGGCGCTCCTGCGGTTGTCCGGGGCATGAAGCGCGGAGACCCGGAGCCCGACGGACAGACAGCGGCGGCTCTAGTGGACTCGGCCGGGGCGGAGTGCAAGCGTCCCCGGATCGACGGCTCAGGAGTGATCGGCGAGGTTGGTCAGGTGAGGAGTAAGAGAAAGGAGGAGGAGGTCTTTTGTCCATATACAGTAATGCAGGCACGGCACAAACGCGGCGTAAGGGTCTCTCTCTGTGTTTTGGCTCATGGTTACATTATTTAAGTGGATTTTATCCATATAAATACTCAGTTATTCTGCATTTGAGATGTGATCACAAGTCGTAGTTGTAGATACAGTAGTTGCAGTTGCATCTGCAGCAGAAGGGCCCCCAATGGCCCACCATAGACTGCCTAGTACATTACCACCACTACAGGAAATACCACCACGTTTCACAGCTGTGTGACTCCACATTGCTGCTAATTCAGTTTAAAAAAAAAAGGGAGGGGGGGAGTTGCAATAGTGAGGATGTAAGTCCTGTTGTTGGCTACATGGCTACAGTATAGCATTGTAGCTTCAGACATTGGCTCAAGGTTTAAGGAGGAATTGCAGTAGTACAGTTTGTATTAAGTCAATCTACTGTGTCCACTGGGTTGTCACATTGCTGATCAGACACCCTGTTGCTTCAAAACTCTACCAAAGAGCATCTTTCTGTTTTATGTATATCTGTGAAGCCCAGACAGAGTCCCAGCAAAGGGAGGGGGATGTAAACAAACTTGACCTTTTATTATGCAAAAAAAAAAAAACACATGCCATGTGGTATAATGGTGTGGACAACATTTGGTTTAGAATGGAAACTGATGCCAGTGTTTGCTTCTGTGGTCTTTGAAAGGGGGAGGGTGGACAGGAGGGGGTATTTATTTTAGCTTTATTTTGGAGGGGGCAATCACCCCAACCCTAATCAATCTAATGATTGTCAGCTTCCTGCTTTTATCAACTTTATTGCTGCAGTGTTTGGCCTCTTATTATGTGCTTGGATCAGCAAATGTGATGGACCCTTTTAACCTCTTTCTTTCTGTGTTGGTAAGGTCAATTTGCTGTTTTTTTTGCCGCATAGTGATCTAAAATTGGTCAAATATTTCTTAATAGAGCACCGAAGGGGGGGTAAGAGGATGCTGTGGACATCATTATGATGTAATATGTACGGAGATGCACTCCATTGGAAGACAGAAAGCTATTGCTCCTCTATTGAAAGTGCCAGTAATGGAGGTGAAGTGGCCTGTTTGCTCCTGTTTGGAAAAGCTAAATGGCTGGCTTTACATTGTCATGCTGTCCATGAGTGCTGACAGACAGGCTTAGGAACGTAATGCACTTAAAAACAGATGTGAGTGGTAGAGAGTGTGTGTGTGTGTGTGTGTGTGTGTGTGGGGGAGAGAGAAGCACAGATCAATAGCTTCAGCCCCTAAAATGTATTGAATGTGAGCTGGCTGGACAGTCCGGAAATGAGAGTGGGAGAGTTGCCCCCCTCCTTCCCA